TACTTAAAAAGTTCATTCCTCATTATAGCTCTATTTGTTTGCGGGTCGATTGCGTAGACCATGAGGTCAGACTTGGTGTAATCCTCTTCAGAGTACCCATCCCCAAACCTCCGCGCACCGATAGATTCCACCACAACCGTTGCACCGGGAATCTGATCTTGGACGTAGCGTTCCAAAATCCTACGGATGAGATGGAGCCAGAAAGCTGCAGTGATTTATTTGTTCTGATCAAGATTGACAACAGCCCAAATGAGATACTAATAGACAAAAACCACAGGCCTAGAAGGACGGTAACCTTCAGAGCACTTTTAAAAAAATCTCTGCTCCAATACAACCTCTTAACTGCTGAACTCTTGGGAAAAGCTTAGCAGTGTTAGGAGAGGTCACCAGAAATAGTGTCCTTAAGTCTAGCTCTTTGTATTTATGACATCAGTTGAGTTTTAAATGGCTCATGGGAAACACCATCTGTATTTCACAAAAAGAACCCTGTCACCCCTTTATTAAGCTATATGATTTCAGAACTCTAGGATTCCAGCCTTACACAGGGTGCATACAATAAATTTTCACCCACAGAAACAACTACTTCAGCCATTTTTGGTGGCATATCTCATTTGGCCCTCCAATATAGCACAACATATCAGGTGCCAGAACACCTGCTACTCCAAAAGGCATGAGCAAGTTTTACAGCCATAAGAGAGTTGGAGTATCGAGCGGACACATTTACCACAGGAAAAAAATAAAATAAACTGCAGACGTTCTACAGGCAGAAGAAAGATAGGTCGATGGAATTCAGCGGCAGCTATGCCCGAGATAACAAGGGCATATCAACAATAAACCAAAACAAATCTGTTCTTTTTCCAAAGAGAAGGATTCATTACAAGCCGCCAGAGCAGAGAATGGCACACACTGCAGATACGTATATAAATCGCACGTGTCGATACATGCCATAAAACGCAATTCTGGGGAATTAAAATTTGTTAGAGAAGATGACATTTACTGATCATTTTATTAATTCTTGTCACGTGACCCATTTTCTTTATTACGGAATATTCATTAATTTAAAAAAAAAATTTTTTTTGACGACTGACTGTCCGCAGACGTCTTAGTATGTACTTTTGGAAGCCTTTGTTCTAAATGAAAAATCTCATATTTTCCTACAGTTTTCCATGCAGAACTCTTTATGGGAGAAGTGCTAACGTGTGAGGCTATTTGTAAAATATTCAAAACGACAAAGGGAGGATGTCTTTTTGCAGAATGTCCCTCCAAACAAACAAAAAATACTCGTGTGCCAGGTATTGTGCCAGGTTGAAATGCCTTCAGCGTGCCTGCAGAAGCACAGAACCGATAGGAAAAGGACCTGAAAAGTTTCTGCACAGATAGCAAGCACACTCGTACCTCTGATACGGAGAGTTTACGGGAAGTTATAAGCCTAACTTACTACTGCTCTAATAAACTGCTCTAGAAAGGACAATACCTTAATAAAGTTTTTAAAAAAATTTATTCTTTTGCTTCCTCCTTGTCTGATCTGCTACCCCAGTGGGCCCCATGAAATTTGCTGCGTGCCTGTAGCAGACTGCTGCTCTGTATCGGCTGCACTGTGCACCCAACGTTTAGAAGCGTTGCAGCACAGCTGGATGACCTTCAAATTCTGTTTGCCACAGGGAGAACTGGTACTCCCAGCAAGACCATAGCTGGGGCTGGCAGCCAAGACGGTAGAGACCCCAACTCTGGCAAGAATGGATGGAGCCAGAAGGAAAATGGAAAGCTGCTTAGAGAGTGCCGTCAGAAGAGCTTTAACCACGGCTGTTGGGCAGCGACAGAATATGTGTCGGAGAAAACAGGAGGAGCGTCTTTGCACAACAGACTTGCTAACGGCATGATGAGGTTTCCAGACTGGGACTGAGAAGGGTTCAGTTAAAGCCCACAGAGAGTTTTATAAACAAAGGCACAAAAGCAAATATCATCGATACTGGATACAAGGGCAAAGCAGCATGGAGAAACAAACGAGAAGCTGGAAGTCTAAGCACTTCATCAGAACCATGAGTTACGGGAAAACACCAGATTTTCTGAGCTAATTGATGTGATTGGAATATCAAATCAAAAAGCAATGGCTGAGTTAGGAGGCAAAAACAAGGGAACGAAAGGGAACATGCTGCCTGATATATCAAGGATGCACTAGGGTGTGGACGAAGACAAGTCTCTCAAAAAAGGACATCAATGACTTCTTAAAGTCACTTGTTGTTTTGAACAAAATCCTTTGCTGTTGCTGAGGTTACATTTTGCTGTTGTTTTTCTCCTGACGCAAGATTTCCAAAGAAAGAGCAGTAATGCTGTCAAAGCAGTATCACCGTCTCATAATTTTTCAAGACCACTGACTCCACATTTATCCATCCAGTTTCTCTGCTCTTTGTGTGAAAGAAAACAGAAGCTTTTCTATAAGATTTTGAAAAATCCAGGTCTGTCAGACCCAGGTCCTAGCTTAGCAGTGAATATATACCCTTAGTGCAGAGCCATTTTTATAGGGAAAACAAAAATAGTGGATTGTCTGACACATTGCTACTTTGACTGCTACTCTAAACAAGCACTCCTGTTGTTCGCAGATACAGTAAACTCTACTCATCTCTGCTTCTGGCACGCACTTCTCTGGCAGCTAGGGTGATAACCTGTCACAGGCACCTCAGCAACAATAATTCTCCCAGGCAAAACTTGACAGAACGGATCTGGGTTATGCAGATTACTACAACACCCTCCCCCAACATTACGCGAATGTGAGTGACTACAAGAAACCGTAACTGTCTTCAGAGCGGCGTTTTGCACAAGGATTCAGACAGACCAAGTATGTAAAAGATTCACCTGCCTCATTAGTAATACAATCATCTTCTGTTGCTGCAGGGGGGGACGCTTTTGTTTCCTCGCACAGAACCCGAGGCAGAAACGCCCTGCAAGGTTGGCAGCCTGTACTGTAGGGTCGCTTTTAGCAGAACTGGTAACAACATTCCCTTTTCTCAGAAATTCCTGGCATGGCTTCTGCTGGAATTCATTGCCTTTGAGAATATCTTTGTCTAAAACTTGATTAAAATTGAAGAACAAATAGCATACTACTTTCTGACTATGAGAAATCAGAACATTGTAGCCGCTGGCTTTAACTGACGTTGCAAGAAACACCACAGAGTATAGGGGAGTGACAGTAATATTTCATCTGAAACACACAAATTGCATGTTTAGGTTGAAATACATAATAAAAATGCACTGAAGACCAAAAAGTAGCAATTAAAGAATGCACTGAAAAATAGGGCAGTTCCCCATAGAGTTATTTTAAAAGTCACTCAGCTGAACTCGTGATGCTGAAAACACTGTGGTGTTTTGAAACTCTACTGAAAGTGGCCACCTACTTGTACCACTCACAAGAGCCAATTTTTTAAATGCATACTTTAAGTAACGACAGCATCTGCAGTTCTGCTGCATTTATCGGCAAAAGTTAGCTTAAAATTAGTCTGTCACTTGTTAATGCACGGAGGGTTAATTACCATCCTCCCAACAGTGGTGTGGTGAGAGGTAGAACCAGCAACAGGCGACCAGACTTTCCTACTGCTCTAACCCCATGTAGCTCTGCAGACGTAACGAACAGAAATGCCTCCCAGCGCATCTTCATTGCCATCGCTTTCCCACTTCCCATCAGCGACACCAGTGAAATGAAATGAAGGACAAGACAATTTTCACTGTCACTGAGGTCATAATGTGGCCCTGATATATGCTAAAAACTCAGAGATGATTTTTCTTCACCTTAGATGCAAAAGAAATGGAAAGGCAAAAAAAATACAGGTATGTTGGTTTGTTGAGCTGTCGCTTAGCTGGTGGCATTCTGCTTCCCAGAGCACTTCTGAAACCAGCAGACCAAAACCCACAATCTGGGATAAGGCACCACGCTTCCGGGCCACACTCGGCGCTACGTCCGTGAGCTGATACGCACCCCTGAGGCATCATGCCGCACGGCAGGGCTGAGGGTGCTGCACCCCCTTACAGGCCGAGAAGACCCTGCTGGGCACAGGCCTAAATTAAGGGGCGTGCCCTGGCATCGCAGCATCGTGCTGCTTCTTCCCCACAGCCGCAGCAACCGGCATGCCAGATGCACGCCCCAGCATGGGAGAGATCCTGCTACTGGGAAAGGTGCAAAGGACCACTCGGAAGCTTCTTTGGAAACTAATGTGGAAGTCCATACGAGTCAGAGAATTCGCCTCAAAATACGAGCTATGCAAGCAGCCGCGTGGGACCCGGCAGCAACGGCAACTCACCTAGACTAGCGGTCATCGTGTACGACTTGGTAAGTCAGCAGCAAGGTTTAATGACCCTCTGTTGTCCCTGGCGGAGATGCACGACATGGCCTGAAAGAGCACCGCAACGTTCCAATAGTTTGAAACCCTCAAGCCGAACTGCTACGTTGCGTGCATATCCTCTGAACCAGCACACAAAGAAAAGAAACAACTCCATTTGCAGAACATTTTAGATCCTCACCAGTACCTGGATTTAATTACTGCACAATTTTCTTAGCAGGAAATTCTATGGGGAAAAAAATGTTTTGATTCTCTAGTAATTCGATAGCCTGCTGTGTTTCTGAGGCACATAAAAATATCTTAAGAAATGAAAAAAAAAAAAAATCCATTCTTTCTTTCAGGACTCTGAAATAACTGGTAGCATAGACTTGGAGCTACAGGTGTTGAAGACCAGATATCCTGCATAACTTTTGGCCCCTCCACTGAAAATCCTAGGTCCCCAAAACAACATAGTAATAATAATGAATTTACATTCTAGGTATTTGAAAATGTAAGCGAATTTCACAACAAGGCATCCAGCTCTGCCGGTACACATCAATACAGACTTTTCAGATGTTTCATTTAACCCGAGTACATGCTCTCAAATTTTGCTCAACTTCAGCCGAATTCTGGCTGTGTTGTGTTTTTGCAAGGTTAATAATTGACAACTGAACTGCTGGATTTTCAACTGTACTTTCACAAATAGGTAAGGACCAATTCCAGCCCCTCCGGTGCACTTAGCGATAGCTTTGGGGGCGATGCATTTGGGCTGCAGCTGCCGGCTCCCAGATGCCTTATTACAACATACGTATAGCACAAGGAAGGTTATACTATTTTTGTGGCCTCTGGAGAGGCGCCGAGCTGCTTTGG